AATGAGCGTTACATCACCACCATCCAATAATAATGACAAAACAAAAGAAAACAAAAAACTATAAATTAGGACATCATTTAAAGAAATTAAATTCTTCTTTTTTTTTTGTCTTTTCTTTAGCAGTAAAAAAATCCTTTCAAAACATTTTTTCTGCTAAAAATTAAAAAAAAAAATCTTTACATTTTTATTCTTCTTTTTCCACCACTATTATTCTATCGATACACATATATATGTATATTAGTTTAACTTCTATAGTCAAATTGTACTCCAACTATATCGCTCCTTCTTCCCTTCACTGAACCGTACCATCACTGTAGTACACTTTTATTCAACAACTTTTTTTTTTTTTTTCAGCTGATATAATTGCTATTTGCTAAAGAAAAAACTTCTGTTTTTTCTTTTTTTTTAAACTTTACATTTTGCTGACGACAACAGTAGTGGAAGTGTTGATGACGATGATGCTGAATGTTGACAAAAAAATTTTGATGCCAAATGATCCACCGAAACTACAGGGTTGTCTTAGACTACTGCTTTTATTGTTTCACACACAACTTGCTGATGATAATTTCAAATACTCAAACAGCTATAGTTATTCAGAAGTAAACCATCAAGCAGGAATTTTTTTCATATATAAAAAACAAAAAAAGAAAAAAGTTGAATAAACAAAAAGAAAAAAATAACTTACAAAAAATATGACGTAATTTTTTTTTTTGTTGTTCAATAAAAAGTAACTTATTCTATTAGCCAAACAATACAAAATTTGTGTGCAAAATATTCAAAATATAATTCTTCAATGTGAACCAAAAAAAATGTTATATTTAAAAAATATTCAAGCCATTCGTATCTTTTTTTTGATGACAAATTGCTGACTTACCACAACAGTAGAATATTTCCAAGTAAATCTGACTGAAATACAGATACTATTCTAAGACAAACTGCAACAGTGCCTATAATTTTTATGTACAAATAACTGCTTTGTTTTTTATAGGAATCCGATTGAAACTTTTCATCTATAAAGCTAAAAATATGCAATTGAAATAAGTGAATCGCAAAAAGACCAAATGTACAAACGCATTCATTTGCTTCATTGATGATAGAGAAAGTGCTGATAAGCTTAAGAAACCGCAACCAACAATCAAGGTAACTGACAAAGTATATCGAGACTTATTATAAGCTACTAAAGGCTATTGACTAAACAGTTGTGAGGCCTGCAGAAGACGAATAAGTTTTCTTTAAGAACCAACTAGTAGAATTTCAAAGAAAAATGCAAATATTTACGCATATTTAGCCACATCAGTCAGCCAAACTTGTATCAATTCAAAGATCAATTTATTAACAGTTACACTATTTACCTTGAGCTTTAAAAAACTTGATATTTGTTGAAAGAATTCTGCATGCAAAAAAACCTGCAAATCAAAAACTGATATGAATTGGCAAAGTAGTTTCACTGCAATGAAATACGCTAAACTCAATTACGGTTTACAAGAAAATTGACTTGAAATTAAATGAATAATTTTATAAAACCTAATCGTAAAACAATGATTCAATCACACGCGTTCATGACTCTGTAGAAACTGACGAATAACAAAAACATAAAAGAATGGTACCATAAACATCTGCTCCAAAAATAATCACTAATAGTACAAAAAATTTTTATCTTCAATCTCTGATCAGTTTTAATTTTGGCTCCAAACAGTTTTGAAACTTAATAAGACGCCTGAATCAGCTAAGATTAGTGTAGAAAAACACGAAAAGTTGTAATGTCATTAGTCGTCGTACCTATGTGCGAAAGAACATAATTGTTGAGGTACAAACCCTAGCCTAACCCCAAGAAAACGCTTTTTGAGGCTAACCATAAGGTTATGCCATCTGAAGTCAATAAAAAAACGAAATCGACTTCTTTAAACGATTAAATTTTTCATCGTTGTAATTGTTATTGCGATTTACAGCTGGAAACCTGACTACATTTAATGTATCTTCCTCCTCTTTCAAGATTTCACATTTCTTTTCTGTAGCTTCTCATAAGACGTGTCCACCAGTCATTGTAGCTTTCTGTTTATCCTCTAAGTAGAGGTTTATCAAATTTGTTTTATCACATCAACTTTATCTATATATTAAGTTTCAGTTTTCCAATGTTCGCTAAAACATTCTGCATTTGTTCTTGCTATTGTGACTGTTTTAGCATTCAGTAAAAAATCTAACCTGAATAATCGTTGCCTAAGTGACTAAACCTCAAGTTCAACTCAAACCAAGAGCTACTCATAAAAATTAGATTGCAAACTTAAGAGTCCTCGGTTGTCATCAAGTCAGCTGACGTCAAAAATTGCTATCAAAGATTCTAAATTTAAACGACCTCGCTCAAAGTGATACCAAGACAAGTTACAGCAAAACAGTCCGCAAAAAGATGATAAGGTTCTCCAACGAGTGTATAGAGGAAATATCACTGTAAACGTCTCTGCATTTCAAAAATTTTGTTAATAACCGTAGCAAGAATTCTTTAAGAATTTTCAAAAAGAAAATGAAGTCTGTCGGTATATTTATTACAGTCTCAAAAGCGGTTCTCTTCAAATAACCACCAGAATATAACCACTAAAAAAACTCGACTTCACTACTGTCTTTTGCACAATTTCCAGTCGTCATCACAATCACCAATCTTTATTTCGGTTCAGAATTATAAGCAACTACAGAACTCTTCCGCCCAAAAAGCATCAACAACTGTCAAAGCTCGCCACTGCAGAGCTCATCCTAGACGGCATTCTTCATCCACTCTTCATCCGCATAACTGAGGGAACTACCCAATGTTAACTACTTCAGAAAGCGACCACTTATCTCCGAGCAGAAGCGTTACCAAAAGGGCCGTTGTACAGCTAGATCAATTCGTAAACAGCCTTCCGGTGTAGAAAACACACTTCTTGAAGGACAGGATGATTGACTAAGAAGCACATTTCGTCCTTTTCTATCTACCTATCGTCTGCAAAAAG